CTGATTAAGCAATAAAATGTTAGGGTAAATAAATGCATAATCCCAGACTTAGGATTTCTCTGCTACTCACAACAAGTAAGTATTAGGACACAGAAGCTGGCTTCTATTAGCACCTAATATTTTTTCCTTTGATGCTATTTTTTAACTTGCTTAGAGCAAGAGTTTCTTACAGCACTGTTTGCTGCCAGGAATTAATGTAATACACACTGATACAAAGGAGTAAAAGAAGTCTGTCCTCAAGAGTAACAGGCTGATGAATTTGGAGATTATTAATGACTTTTTCTCTTCAACGACTTCAGGAAATCATTCAAAATGTAATCTTCATGTAAAACATAAACCACAGCAACTGACTAGACTTGCGGAGGGGGTCACACTGAGTTGCAAAATCAGCCTGGATATGCAGAGACTCAATAAAAAACCTAACTGGAGAAAGCATATTGCAACCATGATGGAAGTCCAATATGTTTTAGAAGGTTTTCGAATTGTTTCTAACACATGGAACTTTTGGTATGGATGCACAGCCCATCTTTCAAATGCTCTGCGCTGCTGTGTATCACCTGTGTAGCTGCTCTCCCGCTTTTGTTTAGAAGTGCAAAGTCACTAGTGGATTTCATGGAAGCTCAGCTTTTTGTTCCTCTGTGGGGTCTGTCCTCTGCATAGGTAAGGCGGAGAAGAAAGCCTTTCCCTTGTAGGTGTTATTGGTAACACCTACAAGGGAAAGGCTTTCTCAAAAAGTTTTCTAATCTGCCCAAAGTTAGTTAAGATTCTGAGTCAGCCTTTTCACCACATTTCAGTAAACCACACATTTAAACACGGTGCTCTTTCATATGCATATTACGTAGCAGAAGTTTAGCTTTATCACCAGAAAGCCTCAAACCTGAATAAACGTTACTCAAATTGAAAACCCTCCAGCAGAATGCAGACTAAAGGATCTTACGGGTAATTAAACCAGAGAGCAAAGATGATTATCAAAAGGCAGCACATTATACATTTACATACTTTTAGATGAGCTGCATCTTCATTACAAACGAAAATTAAAGTATTCTCAGAAAGTAAATACAGGCCCTGCTGGGCCTCCTGTTATTACCAAACAAATGAACCCTTGACTCAAACTAAGCTGGATCTGATAAAGATAACCCCTGAATGGTTACCTTGAGTTCAAACTGCCAAATGTGATAAACAGCATGCACGTTTCCTACCACTGTTCTAAAAATTATGACTGCTTTCACTAAACAGTGACTTTTTGAGCAGTCCACAGCATATTTAGAAATCACATTTGAGATCAGGGCTGTTCTTACAGTGTATTTCGCTGTTTAATCAGAGTCCAAAACCCAGTTTCATAGTTGGCTACCTAAAGACAGGGGGCAACATCCTCTACTAAAAAGCCTTCCGTTATCAAGCACTGTCAGATGGTTCATATCCAGGACTGGTTTCTACATCTAGTATTTCTTGTGTCTTCTAGCACAGAAGACACACGCCCACATTTGAAATGGCTAGCTTTTATTATAGTTGCTGGCAAATGGAAGGGCACGAAATGAAAGCCATTGTATTTGCATTTCACATCAAAAGTCATGCCTAGATTAAGTATATTAACTTTGATTACCTCCCTTGTTATGCATTTGACCGCTCATAATAATAGGTCATTCAGTAAGTAATCTAATGACTAACTGTGAGAAAATAAAACATATCAATACAAAAATACAAGCCTAAAAACATTAAGCCTCATATGCATCCCTCTTTTGTCTCTTCCTTGTTGTCCAAGATTGCATGATTTTCAGGTTCAGGAATGTATGAGACAGGTAAGCACGTCAAGTCCTTCATCTTTGCAGGCCCAGAGAGCAGCAGGTGCAAATACAATCAAAGAGAAGAGTCTTATGATGCTTACACTAGCAACACCCTGCCTACTGATGAAACACAACTTTGATATCAAATATGAATACCTAGCACAGAATGTAACACTGTGTGGTTGCAATTTTGCAGTCAAAGCAGGTCTCTGACCCCAATTAAATGCCTACCTTCCTATTGTAGTATACAGAGATATGGGAGGCAGAAAAGAGAAGCTGAAATTACTACAGCTGAAGTCCTGTTTGCACTCTGGTTTCAAGTGCACTACAGAGTTTTCAGCTGTGCGCTAGCATAACTCCTACTCCACGCAACAAGTGCTGCTCATTACAAGATCAGGGCCAGTATACGGTTTTGATTCCTAAGCTCAACAGACAAATGCTTAAGACTCTACACTTTTTATACAATAAAGATACATTTGCCCAGTTAGCACATGCCAAGACAAATATTAGTTCTCGCCTCTGTAATGAGCTTAAATGTGATGTTCAGGCTGATGAGTACTCAACCAGAATATCCTCCCAGCCCCCTCTATGTCTTTTACAGACAAAACTGCAAACCATCATGTGCTGTCTCTAGGACAAAGATGGACATCCAGGTAAGAAGTCCTAGCCTTTGGAGGCACTGTAGGTTAAACCTGCAATCTGATGTCTGACTAGGACTTCAAAGGCAGGAGAAGACAGCAGAGCTCTAAAAAGCATGAGCTGTAGAAATGTATTCTGTAACAAATGAATTTCCAAGCTCTGAAGCAATTTCACATTTATGGTGTGTAACTTCCAAACATAGCGTACTCAGTAGTCTAATTATGAGTGAGAAAGTTCTGGATGTCACCTGCAAGGTCTATCAAAGCAATGGATGCAAGCTCCTAACTATATAGAGAAATATACAGACACACCTTGCTGGTGGCAGCTGTCTTTGTTTTTTCTCATAGCAGCAACCAGTCCAATAAGCCATATTTGTTGTGCTTACGCTGTCCAATTACTGTTGTACCTAGAGTCAAACTCCCTGACTGTGTGTGCTGCCTAGACCTTAAAATCCACTGGCAGGGAGCAGCAAGGGTGGGCTGCTCCACAAGGGAAGGCAAGCCAGGAGCTGATGGCGACAATGCAGGCAAGGCAGCGTCCTCACTGATGAGGGTGCAGTGACGCAGTACCTGAAGAAGAGCAGCAGAGCAGGTCTGGTGATGGTAACCGGGTTCAGACAACAGCCCAGTGATCACCAGGGAAGTCCACAGCGACAAGGCTTGTCCGAAGCCAAGCCAGAAAGCCAAATCAGCAAGGCACGGGCAGGATCAGCAAGGTACCGGCTGGACACAGGCATACCTGCAAAGTAGATCAGGCAGGGACCAAGGGCAAGGACCTGGGCTTAAATGAACCTCCTGAGTGCAGCAGCCTCCCATGAGACTTCTCACAACTCTCTCACACACCAGCCGGAACCACGGTCACCCAGCTGAAGGCAACCAAACCCATGGGGGCTGCGGGTAGAGTCTGGTAGTGCACTCAGCATGCAGCCACCTATGTGGCTCTCAGGCCCATCTGCACCTGGAAGACTAGGGCACACTGCGGCTTGTACACACGCCACCACCGAGCCCTGCCCTGAGCAATTTCAGCAAGTCTGAACGACCTACATTCAGGAGCAACATTACCAGACTGCCAAAACTTATCTAAGAGCGTAGCCTCACCAGACTCTCACACGTTGTCATGCTACCCCTATATTCTCAAGTACGCTATGCCTATGTGGCGCAAACAAGCCAAGCTTTCCTCTTATATACTAGGCAGACCATGCTCTTATACCACCAAAAGACGCCTTCTAAGGATGGAGGCTCTTGCATCATAACAGAATCTTCCATCAACCCTCCTATGGAAGCAGTATATACTAGCCTGCCTCCCTGCTTCACCGACAAGAAGAGAGCCAATGTTTAAACGTGAACAAGTAAACTTTTGATCTTATTCCCCAACATTTAATTAAAGGCCACTTCTGCAAAACAATAGCATGTTTGCTTATCCTTACAACTTTGCCCAGAAAACATGGTACAGAACAACTTGCAGAGCTTTAGCACTGCTGTTCCCTTCTCCCTGAGGGCAGTGTTTGTTAACGCGGCAAAGCAATTGAAAGTGTAGCTCCCCATTTTATAAAATAGGCACAATCCATACCTTTGGCTGCTTACTGCGTCGCAAGCATCCTAAAATTAACTCAGCATTTTCTGCAGCCCTCAGATTCCCAGAACAATGGTGTCACATATGAGCAAAGTAATGTAAGATATGACGCATACATATAGATAAAAAAGGGGGATCAACAAATGTCTTCCCATTGTTTTCACTCGCAATGATCAGGTTACTATTTCTGTTAAAGTTACAGTCAATTAAGTTATTGATGTGAATGAAGGTTCTCTCAACCCCTTTCCTGAACAGCAGCTGATAAATAACAGCACAATTTCAATGAATATTTGCTGAAAGGTAGCTACATGTTGCAGAGGCTAGAAGAGGCAGCAGTACAGAAAGTAAGCAGTAAGAATGTTTTTCTCGCATTTTTTTCCCCTCACAAACATAGGTCCCTTCACTTCAGATCCATGCGTCTCTTCTTCCTCTTTCCCGTACAGATTCAAAGTATCCCTGTAGCCCAAATATTAAGGAAACCCTGTCAGACTGGAATCTTTAAGGACATTTTCTTGCATGCAATTTACTTCTACAGTCCCTAAGTTTCCTGGTGCTCTGACTAACCTAAAGTCCATTAGGACAGGAAAGTAGCACCTCCATGCTTCAACTTCATGCTTCTGCATTGACGCTCTGCTTTGCGGTGGGGAAAAAAACCTTTGGCTTAGAAATAATAATAATAGCAGCTTCTGCTTATGGTCTAGTATAATTATTACCAATAATTCATAACATACCACAACTAGCACAGCAAAACTCCCACTCTAACTGTATTTAATTTTGGCTGTTCAGGCCAACAGAAATCTTTCCCAATATCAGAAGCTAAACTGGGAATTATCGACAGATCTTGGCACACAGTGACATTCTTTTTAAATGCACTATTATACAAAATGAGATTCCTGAAACTAGAGAACTTTTCATAAAACTCAGACCACATTTTTCCAAAAGAGCCTGGAAAAACAGATACTGCATTCTGTAGCAGTTGCGTCTACTCACATTTTTAATAGAATCAGAAATGCTGTGCTGTTGCCAGTTTTTAGCTGGACTATTGCTACATGCAGAGTATGACAGAATATACTTATTGGGATATAGACAAAAATATACATATGAGGAAATTACAGGATCATGTTATGTATGTCTGACAATACTATTCCCATTGACACAACACGTATACTAAATAGGAAAAGTTCTATTGACAGTTGACTTAAAGAAGTTACCTGCACAAGACCTAAGACACAACATTAACTGAACACGAATGGACCAAAACCAACAGATTTTAAATCCTCCAACCATGAGGAGAAATCTAAGTTCTGTAGTAGCTTTGGTATTCCTTTTGAAAAGAAATTTCAAAATTAGAGCTAAACTTTCCCTTTGGGATATAAAAATAACAAATATTTTCTTCATGCTAAACACTTCTACAGATAGATTTACTTTTGAGTGTACATACGTACTATTTTAAAAATACCCATACCTCCAAAGCAGTGATTAAGATTGCGTGATGTGTAACAGACCAGTGAAAATTAACACAGGAGATACCCGATTGCCTTACCTGTACACTGCTCCTTTACTTATATCTCTTAGGACTATCTTATTAGTACAGAGTGAAATTATGGCCCCACTAACATCTACAAATGATTCACCACTGAGGTCAATGGACAAAAAAATTTACCCTCTGTGCTTCAAAGAACTGCCATTAAAAAAATGAACGCACTCAAAATGCCTGCTAGTTTCCTCTTGATTTACAGTTTCTTCCAAAATTATACTGGCTAGAGCCTCACACTGAAGCCTTTAGTTTGAGGGTAAAGACAGATTTAAGGTCTGACATAAATCTTAAATGTTTAGGGAACGGCATATGGAGGACAATTCTCCATGTTCTAAAAGAGGACACTGCATTTAGCTAAGCTCTGAACGCCTCCTAACTGACTGGACATTAAAGCTGTAGCAATCTTGTATGCAAAAAAACTTAATTCTACAAATTTCTTGAATGTTTTAGTTACAATTTTCTCATTTTCTGCGACTTATGATGGAGGAACTATTAAGCCACAGACACAAACACAAATTTTTTTAATGCTAAAATTAATGGAAACAATCCACATTACAGAAAAGTATCCTTTTGTGTACAAGGCGGACGTACATACATCCTCTCATAGCAGAGGATGATATCTAGGTTTATCAAAAGAGACTTCTTACCGTCTTTTGGTAATAGAAACAGAGGAATTAATTAAATTTCTGCAGTCGTCTTTGACAAGTCGTCTACTTTTTGGTCATTTTACTTTTATGGTTGATTTTCATAATTGTGTCAACAAGGCTTTTGTAAAGGGCTCAAAACAACAGTATCCAGAACCTAAATTATGTAGTAACTGTTTCATAAAATTCCATACATTTATTTCTGTAAGCAAGAGGTTAGAAACAAAGAGGATACAAAATAAAATGCAACTGAAAACAAGGAGCCATGATACGCTTCTGATCAGAGCCTTCCCATCACCGTTCTTGAAATACTGATGAAGTTTTTATGATCTTGAGCATATAGTACTTCATAAAAATATTTATTGTTTTCTTATCCATTTTCATCCACTTTCAGTAATGAGCAGAGTCATCTGGGCCATCTAAAATACAAACAGCTGTGAGGATCCAGATACGACACACAAACAACACTGAAACAATTCTAGTAACAAAAAACCCTGTGAAAAGCTAAAGTAATCAAACTGCTCAAGAATCCAAAGAAAACACAATGTGCTTGACAGGCACCAAGTGTCTAGGGTAAAATTTTTAGTCTCATTTCCAGAATGTTTTCAAAGGTGCATCTTCAGATTTACAGGTATCTCTGAAAATCTGCTAACCACTAGAGTTTTCAGAGCCTACGTTTTTCTGTGGCTGTAAGATTCCTGGGACCACACTTTTTAGTGGTCTTTATACAGTTGAAGATGCAGCCTACAGGCAGCTACCACTGTTCTATCAGATCTGGAGCACCTAGTTCTTCTTTGGGGAAAAAAAAGATATAGGTATATTTTGAAAATTTTATTTTCCTCTTCAGATGTCTTCTTCTCTCAGTTTTGGATTTCCTTAAATACATCAATGGAATTTAGAGACAAAAATGTGTGGATACAGAATTTAGACCAATTCAAGCTACATATAAGGCATGGAATATTTTTATAGTAACAGGACTGTAATCCTTAGCTACAAATATTATGTATTTTGCAATACCCGAAGTCTTGATGTCGTGACTAGATACTCTTTTCAGGTGGGGTCCACCTTAATCAGAAGTTATAGCCTGATGCAAGGGTGAGATATTGTGGTCTGTATTATGCAGGTGATTAAACTATCATAGAGAAGCACACTGGGTTTTTTGATCTGTGTATTAATTATCCAGACCAGCACCTGTGCTTTAAACCTTAAGCAGGGAAAAGTTCTAGAAATCTTAACGCAAGGATAAGTCCTGTAGCACCTGCTATTCTCTGTCAGAAAGGGTCATGAGATAGTTTTCATATAAGGATCTAATTTTCAAATGCTTATAGAAATAAATTATCTGGCAGCAATGCAATAAGAAACACAAGACTGAGATGCAGTTGATGTATCAGTAAAATCTAATATGAACTATATGAACAAGATACTAATCAGTGTTACTCAGAACAAAAAGGAAAAATAATCCAAGACAGCTGACTTTCTAAGACAATAAACATTAAGACCATGGTGCAACCCCACTGATTTTGGTGAGAGTTCTTCAGTCCAAGTGATTTCCAGGACTGGAATATAAAATAACTCATGGAAGTGTTCTTTTTACTCTGACAAAAGTTAACATACCAAAACCAGAAATAAAAATCTGTCACAACTCCAGATAAGCTATTTTCACATAATTCATATACTTTGGGATGTAGTGGTCTTAAATGATTTGTGAAAAATACTTTTCTGAATGCTAAATTGAGACTTTGGACAAGACAAAACTGTAAAATCTGTGGTCTCTGACTCAATGAACGTTAAGCAAGAATCACGTCAGAAACGTCTTAGTCACTCAGCATAGTAAAAAATTTGCTGGTTCTTACTAAAGATTGAAAATACAAAAGTGGAAAACTTCTAAAAGCTATTTGGAATAGCTATTATTCTCAATAACTAAAGATGCTTTTATGAAAATGTGCAAACTTTATCAGATTTTAAAACTGCATCTTAACATTTCCCCCTGTCTTTGGATATCTCCTCATTCTTATGCTCAGTCTTTTTTGTGAGTAGGAAGGAGACATCATGCTTTGATTGTTCTTTCATTCCATACTTTCTGTATGAAGAAGAGAGGTTATTACATAACTTAATGTACCCAAAATGTTCAAGAACCAAACTAAAGATAGGGTGATTCCAAAGCACATAAACAGAGAAAAACCCATCAGTTTTGTAAACATCCACTTGAGCCAACCCAATCCAAAGACTGCTAGAAAGCTAATAAAAGCATGGAATGGCTGAAGACTGCATAAATGGAGACATTTTTCAATTAGGTTGTTGAGATACAGACCAGTAAGGAGATAACCACAGTTCTAAGTGCGTCATCCAGTTTCTATGTGACCTAAATGCTGTTGACACTTGAGGTTTTTTTTTCCCCCCGGATATAATTTTTACACTTCATGATCTAAAATGGGACTTTTATATAACTGCCTAATTTTATGTCTGAAGACAGCAATTAAGCAAAGTACCTCTGATTATTTTTAACTGAATGGATATGCAAACAGAAGACATTAAGAAAGATGCTACAACCTCTAAAACAAAGTTTCTTAAAAAAACACAAGTACTGTCTGAGGATGGGCTTTTTTTGGTACCAGTTTACTAACATATGACCTTAAGATGCTGTTAACAACATTATGTGTTCTTGTGTTCTGTTATTATGTATTTCTTTGGTGTTGCCTGTATTAGTTCTGTTCCAAACTGATTAACTTTATAATTAAAGAAATATATATGTAACACTGAAATTGAAGCAAAAAGTAAAATATATCAATGTAAAAAATCTAATTCTAAACAAGAATGCTTGAATTAGAATTCTGGAAAGAATAAATGCATAGTTCTCATAAATATTATTCACTGCAGGAGTAACACATGCTAAGACTCAGACATAGCCTTGATGAGCAGAAATCATTCTCTCCTCAGCAGTGATGTGGTTCACCACGTTCAACTGAAGTAGAAAAAAATTGCTTAACTAAGAAGGACCAAAGCAATAGCAGTTTTGGGCTCCTGTAAGAAAGCACCGCACTTCATAGGAAGGTTATTTTGTTTCAATGGCAAGTGACAAGTTACATCAGTGATACAATGTTTCAATCTTTTCAAGAGGTTTCAGTAACAGGGGGAGCAGGGTATAACCCTTAAGACTAAGCTTTCATCTGCTAGTACAACCCACAATTCAGCATGGCTATTCTACATTATTCACGGTGAGCAAATTCTTGTTAATATACGAAGCTACATGCAAAATGCACACAATTATAAACTGACCACTCGCTAATGATACGGTAAAAATACTTTGGACTTTCCATGCCAGTAGGACAAAATAACGTTGTAGATAAACTAGTACGCCTCATCTGGTTCCCTTCACAAAAGTTTTAGTGATTTTGGTCGCATAACAAGCATAGTCCTAAAATGACAAGGGATTAACAGGCTAAATATGCTGCTCAGTTACTTGGCAAAGTTCCTGAGAAGTGGATGGCGTAGATAAAAATGATCTCAATGGTAACTATCCCATCATTTCAGTTTGCTAGCTCTACAAATATATTCTTTACCGAGGAGGAAGCTCGCATCTTCTCCTTCGGTCTGGAGGTCCCAGTCTGTATTCTCTACCTGCAGGGAGTAGAACAGGAATTAAATATTTTCAATTGACAGTAAAGCAGAAAAACACAAGCTTATTCATGATGGCATGCAAGAAAAAATTCATTTATATGTATTCCAGAAAAAGAATGTGTCCCCTTCCTGTTGGTGTATAACTGTTAGTGTATAATTATGGCTAGTATTTTGAGACATAGGAGGATAAAGTCCATGGTGGAATTGCTCTTCTTAAAGCACCTGCGCCACTGTAACATTTAATTCCAGTCCAACTGATGGCTTGGGATAGTGAATCATACATCAACGTAATTTTCAAACACGATTTCTGTAGGTCTTAGTGCTCAGTTTATTTTTAGCTATTTTTGGAATGAGGTAGCAATGTGATTCAAAACAATATGTCTGTGATGTTAACTGCTAATTAATGAGGTTTCATCTAGGAATAGGCTATAAGGCCCTGTCTACACTGAGGAAGGAAGTACATTACTTAACTTGTTTTCAAACATGTTTTGAAACCTGTTTCGCTTGAGTTGAAGGGACTACAAACCATGGTGAAAGTAGATTTTGAAACAGCATTTCACTTTTTAAATACTGCCTTTAAAAACAGTAAATTCCATAATAATAAAATAATATGTATAATCTATGAATTATGATGATAGTCCTCAACACAGGGCAGATGGAGAACACGTCTAAGGCATACGGCCTTTACTCACTTTAACAGCATGCAAACAATGTGTTGGAAGGCACGCCAAATATGTGAAACATGAAGTGGCCTTTTCACCATACAGTATTCTGTCTTGGACTAAGTGAGTGTTCTCAGGTCAACAGGCAGCACTTAATGCTAGAATCCCTTACCAAGTGTTAATTAGCTAAACATCTAAACTAAAGACGAGGGGAGCTGTTCCTTTATGAATTGCACATTCGGCACTTTTGAGTACTTGTGCCATATGTATTGAATAACAATAGAATCAGTATATGTCTGCAAATACGATACTTAAAACTTAATGTGCTTGCGGGAACATGCTTACATGCACAGGAAAAGACACTGAATGGCCTAGCTGGAATTTCAGTATGGTTTTTTAGCCATTAACCTAGAACCCAGAAGGTTTTCCTTTATTACAGACATCTACGCGACCTTACGCAAGACTTTTAAACTCAAAATACAAAGATCATGATGTGCTGCAATGCCCAATTTTTAGGTATTTTACATCTCAATTACAGAAGCCTAACCTTAGCTTTAAATTGGATACCTAGACAGATTAGATTAGATACCTATTAGGTACCTATTGTATAATAAGCATCAGAATGTTTAGGCACTCAGAATGGGATACACAAAAGTCAGCATGCTAAATGGGAAGTCATCTAAATTAACTAACAAGAAATGCTGCGCATAAAACTTCTACTTCTCCGTGCGAAGGCGTTCAGGTGTCCTGCTCTGAGTTACATGGATGTACTCTCTCCTTTTGTGACATATGGCCAAGAAGTCTACCAAGAAAACTTTAAAAAGAGACCCAGCTGAGCCCCCTTTTCTCAAAACATGAGGATGAGATGTCATTACAACAGATCAGTGGTTAGCATTCATCATAAAATGAGGGATGCCTAGGTTCAAGTCCTGTTCTGCCTGAGGGGATTCAAACCACCATCTCAGAGAAATACCAGTGCTTCTTAGGTTTATGCTTTCTGGGTGGATGCGCTCTTTCCTCCAAAGCTGAAGTTGAGCTACTCTCATGGAATCCTTAAAGAGTAATTAATAAGAGACAGCAAAAGCTGCCTAATCATTAGGTACTTTCTTGAGAGCAATGATACATGCCCCACGGTTATTGTTCCATTACTTTGCAACGCATTTTATCCAATGATTTATATATAATACGCAACACTTTCCAGAGCAGAAACTATACCACAGGAAGCTAAGGGATGGGGTAGCTGGATATCAGTAACAGTAGTAGGAAGTTTTATGACATAAGCTATGAGGAACACAAAATGCTTCTTTTTGTCCCTTTCTTTTCTCTTCAGCGAGACATATATAGCTCAGACAGTAGCGACAAATGAAGCAAACTAAACAGCTCTCTTAATACTAGCAAACTTATAAATAAGAAACTTCATCAAAATGAGTCATCTTGCCAGGTCAGTTTAAAGGGAGCTCTAAAACACTGCAGGACTCTTTTGTAAGGGTAGGCATAATTTTCTAGTAAATGTATTTTACTTGTAACAGAAGCCCTTTAATTGAATTTACGGGATCATATGCTAAGAGTCTCCTGAGAGTGGCATAAAAGGGCTTGATTTTGCCCGTGTAGAAGAAGCTAAGCTCTGTCTTAATAATGCTGCTGAATCATGTTTATAATATGATTCAGCACTCTTACTGTGGAACATACTTTGTGAAATACATCTTGTCATAAGATCCCTGGAAGTGATCAGAGAGCCTACAAAAGCCATCCCTGAAGAGCAGGCTACTTGAGACAGTCACAAGAATGATGATTAGTTTTAGTTCTGCTCCCAACCAGCATTAATGCTCTTTGTTTTAGCTTTAGCTCCACAGGCCATCAAACAATCTTATCTATGAATCAAATGACAGTTCTCATTCTCAAGCATGCAATGACAGAAACTAAAACACATTCAAGATTGTACTGTATTTATTTATTAACACTCTCCCCCAATCATATCATCAATCTTCTTTCAAAACCTAACCTGGAAACATAAAAGAAATTTAGGCGCTGTAGACTTAAGAAAATAACTGACCTGTCCTAGGTGCTTCTCTTCCTTTTGCTCATTTTATTTTTTCTACATACATATGCTTTACCTCATAACAAGGAAGAAAAAAGTTGAATTAATGTCAGCTCAACAGCGTTATCCACAGTGATGTTTCACTGAAACACCTGTTCTGTTCAAGAAGCGAGGTTAGTGAATGATTTAATCTTAACTTCCGTCAAGACAGAAGAGAACTTACATTTGTATTACTTAGGCAAGGATCTGGAAGCTGAGACCCTAATGTAGAAAACCACTTAAAATGTGTTTAACTTTATTCACATGCTTAAGTGCTTTTTTGAAGTATGAGTTAAGATTTGCAACTAAACATTTCAGAAAGACATTTCTGTGCAGCTGTGACAATTAATTTTAGAACAACTACAATTTTTAAAATCATTCAGCTGAGATCAGAATTTCTGCTACGAGTGGTACACAACTAAAACTGACACAAATAAGTTTTGCTACTGACTGCTGTGGCCGCAGGACAACCTCATACATACAAATGCAAACTGCGTAAAGGAACAGAGTTATTACAGTTGACAGAGATAATTCCAAATATACACACACAGATATTCTTTTTTTTTTTTTTTTTTTTAACCTTGTGGCTGAGGGCTTCTCCACGGGAACCTCCTCATCTGATTACGATACGGAGGAACAAAAGAAGTTCTGTATGTTTGCTGGAACCTGGGGTTGAATTCTCTTTGAAGTGTTCCTGAAAAACAGTATTTACTAACTGTTTCTGACTGTGTATTAGATTAAATGAAGAAAAAGAGAGAGGAAATGTTCTTTTTTGGGAAACATAATTTCTTAGATTTAGGCCAAAATACTTAGGTGAAATTATGACTTTTCCAAACTACAGTTAGCCTAATAACTATGGTTCTCGTGCTCATTTCCATCTATGCTCATCACAATTACAACCTGTTAACAAGTGTATTTAGAAATCAGATTGAAATTCTGTAACATAGATTTGGAGACTGCAGTCATTTAAAAGAAAAAGAAATCTTTGTCCAAATTGAAGCCACAAATCATAATGAAAACGGTTAAGTATGGCTCTAAAGCAATAGCAGATGCTAACAAGGTTCAGTACCATAAATCACCATCAGGTACTTTTAGTTCAGAACGTTCATCACCAGTATGGCCTCGTATCACACCAGAAGTATTGCTGCCACATGATGCACAGCACTGAACCAGCGGAAAGTCGTTCTGTCTGTTGCAATTTGCTCAAAAAAATTTGAATGGGTAATTTTTATCCTTGCAGACTTTATACCAGATCAGGTATTAAGCAGGTAATAAACATAAAATCAGTGCAAACACTCTATCACGTGACATTCAGCTAATTCAACTGTAATAAAATCATCCGCTCGTGCCTGAACCAGATCAAATTTGTAGTGTTAGGTGATCCTGTTGTGCATAGATCTGTAATTAACGAACACAGAACCATAGGTCTGCTAATAGTAGAGAAATAATCTATAGAACAACAACACAAAGAAATAAAAAGGCCCACAAAGAGGCTAAAATAGTCTTTCCTTTAAAAGATATCAAAAGCAGGAAGCAATAACTTTTTAAGTACTAATGACAGTATTTTAAAATCTATTCGTTGCAATTAAAATGATGCCACTACATAGCCTTTGAACCGAGATTTGGTGTGAATCAGTTTGAAGCCGCAAAAGCCTAAAAATTCAGGCTGCTCTGCGAACGACGCTGAAAACCTTTTAGACGTTTCTTCCCTGAAAGTCAGGCAGAACTGGTGGGAAGACTAGTATCTTTAGTAAACCAACTGATATAGTTGGAAAAAATAAGCATAGCCTTATGCAAAAAGCCCTCCTTCAGGTTGACCAAAAGCTTGCCTATATTTTCAACGACATCAGTCATTTCTATAAAATGTCTTCAGGGACTCACTCAGGCCTTAAAGTATCACGGCTAAAATAGCTCCTCTGAGGGAAAAGAAGAAAAAAAAAAAGCTCTGAGTCATCTAATTCCTGCCATAAAAATAACCTTAATTACTAAACAAATAGCAGTGATGTTTCTGTCAGTGGACAGTATTTTATTTATTGCATGCATCTCAGCAGCTATGCAGCTAGATGAAAAAATTATTTTATCCAAACTTGGGTAATCAAATTCTCAAAAATTCCTAAAAAAACCAGGTAATATTTTCTTAGATCTCTCCTTCAGTTTCTTGGAGAAAGACCTTATGATTTACTCAGCTTGACAGGCTGCCTGGGGAAATGCTGCTGTTGTTGAAGGATAATTGAACTCATCAATATACTGGCTTTATTGAGGAAAATTAACATGATGCCAACCTGTGATAATTCCATTCCCCCTCTGTCTGCTCTGGATTGTTCTGTTCTTCGCCATGCAAGCCTTGCAAATGAATGACTTTAGATTCTGGAAGGGTGTATACAACGACTCCTGCAGACAATAAGGTTAAAATCAATGACTGTTTTGCCTTTGTCTCTTCAGGTGTAGCACAAATCAACCACATTTACAAATATTACACAAATTTTCTTGGCCCAGACTACATACATGCTTGAAACTACCACATCTTCTGGTTTGCATTTTTCAGGAAACAAAGTTAAAACATTTCATATCAAAAGAGGATTCTTGAAGGGGTGATTAGGTGTGTAGAGGGAATGTATTTTGTTTTTCCCTCTCTCGGTGAAGTTTGCTTTTCTGCTCTGCCCACATCCATAAGTCACTTCCTTCCCTATTATATCAACTTGCATCTGCAGATATACCTAACTAGACTTTTATCAGCAATACCTCAGGCAGAGACGGTTAAAGCCTCCAGACAAGGAGTCATGAACTGATGGAAAAAGCATTGGTGAAAATCAAAGTATCTTCATCTCATACATCACAGATGAACCTTAACACAATAGTAACACATCAGCTATAATTCCAGACGTTTGTTGACTGATAAAGCATAACTTCATCTAAAGACAGATGAGGAATTAAATGAAAATGTTCTTCGTGTGATGAAAAGTTCTACTGTCAAAATGACAAGCTGAAGCTATTTAAAGACCCAACACGAAGATATGTGATATATCCTCAGCTTTCACTGATTTAAGGCAGCTTTGAAGAACTGTCAGATCTTGAAACTTTTTTCTTGGTTTATTGGTTTGTACCGAGCATTTGGGCAGTAGTGCACATGGAAAAGAATCAGTAAAAAGGGATTTTTTGAGAAATACTATAATATGTGATTTCCATAAAGCTGGACTGACCCTTACCAGAATAAAAGTATCTTTTTATAACCAAGATTTGGCAGGCAGGGGGAGAGGATTATCTGATAAGGCAAAAGACCACAGCCAACAGAGAGGTTTCTTAATTAGAGGTAGAGTCTGAATCCCTGAAACCTTCATTAAACTTTCCTAGTATGTTTTTTGAGTTAACAAACTTCCTTAGAGATAGAGCTTTATGCACAACCCATAGATTTTTTTTTTTCCACGCAGAGCACGGTCTGTGACAAACTTTCACTAACAGGAAATCCTTTCATTATATTCTTGGGAGAATAAATTCCGAATGTGTTTATGAAGGTTGGATGAAAGGCATGATCAGAAAAGGATAAAACATATCACCTATGCTTAGTCCATTAGGTAATTTGTTTTTAATTTAAAAAACGGATCATGAACATACCCCATTAGTGACAGACAAAATAAAAAGGCTAATTAAGTGGTAATATAATTGCCTCACTACTTTATGAGACTATTATATCCAATTTTCTCTTTGGATAAACAAACTAATATGATTACTCTTATGGAAAACAGAGAACTAGCATCCTACGAGCTTATATTAAAAAAAAGGCGAGATGCCTCTATTTTTGATTCTTATCAGGGGCCTTCTATTTTTTATCTATAGCGGCTGCTAGGGCTACACAGAGCTGATTTACACAAAAACTTACCCACAAATACACCATCTTCATGTAATTTATACATTATATTCTTTTGGTACAAGGATCTGTGTAAAAGTAAACCCTAAAATGTTCAAATATTGCTGCTATACATGTCAATATCTAACCAAGACTGTATCTCTACTGTACTTTCCATAAAGATATTTACTGTATTTAAACCCACCATCATCAAAACAGTACTGATTCTGGGATCTCCTGAACTCACAGAAGTAATATAACTGTTCAGATCCTATGCACATAAAGGAGAGACCTTAGGAGTTAGGCAGCAGGGAACAGTAAAAGAAGTAACTTTTTCCTACTACTTTTTAAAAACAAAACATCCACGTAGAATAACTGTTTTTCTGAATACAATGCTGTAGCTATCAACAGATTAGATTTATGATGCTCAAGGGCAGATTGTTAACAAACAAGTGTTGAAAGACCTTGGCTTCCAGCGCTACATTACGCTCTGCCAGGAACTAAGTACCAATTGTATTTATTAAAGTTGAACTTATAATAGCAGGAACAACGAATTGCATATGCTTGTTGTTTTGCCACTGTCCCCAGCTAAACTGGCATCTCTTGGCAATTCTCTCAAAAACAGATTCTTGCCTTTCATACCGATAAGCTGGAAAACTATTTTATTAGTCTGGGAGCTATCTCTGCCATATATGTACCATAAAACCATAACTAAAAAAGAAAAAATATTCAAACTACTCTAAAAATTCACAGGACTAGACTGAGTATTTTTTCCACAGCAGAACAGTTTATCTTGGGTTTGTTTAGACTGGAATATCAGGCTTTTTAAAACCCTAAGTTAGATATGTTAGCTGAGAAGTAAATCTTCAGCTGTGTGCTAGGGATCTAAGCATTTTCCTTCATCTCCCTCCTACGACATGTTGAAATATAACTTCAATTTGACCATATCAGTATTTTCAACTGTAAGCTAAAACATGCTTGCTAACATGTTTAAGAATACCTTTCAACCAATATCAGTTTTATTCAGATTTAGATACATATTTTAAAGGTCACTCACTAACCTGAATTCTACCCGCACGGAAAAGTAGTACTTTCATGCAGACTTCCATAGTTTTCCATTTTTTCATTTATTCTTTACATTCTCTGCTATTCTGCATAAGTCCTACATGAAAAACTGGATGAACCAATGGCCCAATCCAAAATCTAGTGAAATCAAGAGAATGATCAGTGGGAACCACACTTATGGTCCTAATCATGTGATTGATTCAATATGGAAAGGATTATGCTCCTCCGCCATGCTGCAAACCCATACAGTCCACCCACCCATATGCGTTCCTCTCCTCACTCTAATTCAGGATGGAATCCAACGGGACACCAAATCAGAAAAAGAAACTAATTATACAAAGACTGGTATTAAACGCATGAGATTAGAATCGTCCAAAAACAAAAACATGTTTTTCCGTAATGGCTTTATTTGAACCTGAGGTGATATGCATAACAAGTTAAAACATTTCTAAGGTAAAATTTTCAAAAATAATTAAGCGGTACAGGATTTTCAGTTCCATAGTCAAGGGATACATGAATCTAAGGTCTCACGTGCTTTCTACGCGGATGAGTACGGCACTACACAAGCTCCTCTTCACATGTTTTGCGCTAGTGGGGCATGAGCCAGGTCTAGTCTGGGGGCTTCACAGGTGCCTTAATCCAGACTTTGCATCCTGCCTCTGGGCCTGGACATGATGCCACCCTAATGCAGCCACCTGGTCCAGGCCAGACCGGCCTCACGTCTAGCAAGACCCTGCTGATATCTGTCTGAACTTGCCTGTGCAGACATGCTTTAAGTCACATTGATTTAAGTAACACAGGATGCAAACCGTACAAATGATCAGCTTCTGAAAGTTTAGAGCTAAATAAGTACTTAAAGACACAGGAAGGTATGCAGGGAGATTCTAAAATATACCTAGATATATACTTCACTCTGATTTCCAGTTCCTCTTGGAATTCACCTATCTCAAACTTTAGGTTCCTTAATACCTTTAAAAATGTCACTCTTAAGCGCTTTAAAAATTTCACCCATTATGTTTATTTAAATAAATTCTTAAGATTTTGCCTAAAATCTTGTGGTAAAGTATTTCATTAACGTCTCAGTATTACAAAACTGTTACAGCTATTTTCATTTTTTGAAATGGACAACCAGTCTGGCGCTTCCTTGTACTATTATTTTCGGAGTAGTGGAAATCAAATTAAAGATAAAATTTAATTTCCTTCACAGTCTCAGCATTTCTACTTTCTTGTGTTTTTTTGGCAGGAAAGATGAAATAGGAATAAGAAAGAGAGGAAAAATAGAAAGAAAGAAAGGGGACCAGCGTAAACATGAATCTTAAAATGAAACAAAGTCTGTAAGGGGCAGGTACATTTTTCCAAGAACACAAAACTATCTAAGAGGATGTGATTACTCACATTGCCTTCCAAAAGCTCCTCCATAGAACACCCTCGGTGTGACTGCTGATACTTTTCTTGAAAAAGTTTCCCATCAAACAGTTTCCATGGCATCAAATCATCCATTCTGAATGGAAAGCCACAGGCACTGTTGGCCATGAGCAAAGTTGTAAGGCCGCGAATAAAGACAGCGCCAAGATGTACAGCTCTGGAGTCCACTTGAGCAAGCTGTTAATACAAAAAAAAAATACATCTCACAAACCAAGGAATGTAAGTGACCTTACCATGTCACAGAACGATGCGAACAGCAGAGCAAATGCTTAACAGACCCAAAGCTGTGAGAATGACGGTTATGCGGCATCTTGTATAAATGTCCTCTATTCCACAGCACTGAAGGGCTTTGCAGAATTCTGTATCAAGTTTTATACATTAAAGTAAAGGAAGCAGAAGTTTGTTTTAACAAATACAGCATCACATTCAAGTTTTTAAGACAGATACGCTCAAAATGAAAACTGAAAGACAAAAGGAAAGGCTATTCCCTATAGTATTTCTCAAGTGTTAACAGTTCACCACAAGGAATTCCATTAGTGGAATGTAAAACACTAACTGGGAGTATAAAGTGATGTGTACAAAGTTATCCATTGACCTTCCACAGTTTCATCAACTGGGAAATGTTACAGCACTTAAGAGATCATTTAAATTATAAGATCTGACAGAACAAAGTTCATTGTGCCCAGGCTTCAGAAATATTTTAAATACCCTAAAATTTCCTCTGACTGCAGAGGCCAAACTCTCTCTTCAACGTGGATCTCTTCAGAAGAAATAGTGGAACGGTATGACAACAACCAGAAAATACAAAATGAGAAACTCAACAAGAAAACTAAAACTTGCAGCCAAAATAAACTTAATGGGTGATTTTACCATCCTGCTGTGTCACAGTATGGCCAGCTACTAAAGCCTTGAATCCAAGAAGGTGAAAACTCTGTAAGTAAGCATAAACAGTACAAAGCTCCTCTCAGGGGAACGCCTCTTCCACAGTCTGTATTGCTGCTGTCTGTCAGGAGCAGGAGGAATTTGTAACAATGCTGCCATCAATACAGCAATCTATGGCAGCTGCTGTACCCTTACACTACAGTTTTCCTTACAGCATAAGTTGCACCAGGAATGGAATAGCATCCAAAATAGTCCAGAACAGAAAGGACAAAAAAGTGGCTCAAATTTGCTTTAGCCCTCCCTCCTGGAGAACTGTGAATAGTTTGTATGAAATGCAATAGAAAAGGTTGGCCCGTTATTAATAACAACAACAACATCTTATATCCTGAAAGGTTCCCCCAGAAAACCTTACAGGTGCGCATCATTGCTCTATTTAAAGAATGACAGGTAACAGCATACAACAGAAATGTTGCATTAGCGGACCGGAACACTTTTTCCCTAAGGTTCACATAACAAAACCACAAATCCTTCAGTAGCGACATGGAGCTAGGAAACTTCTTATGAAAGATCCAAACACAGTAAATCACATGGAAGAGAATACAGCTAGAACCTCATGGTCAAGGACGTCAGTTTTCTTTTTTATTATACAATGAGCTGCAGCCGGTAGTATAATGAGATTATGCAAAACTGGTTCCTGTGATAGGGTTCCCCCAACCACAGACAAGGGGCAGTAGGGTTCTGTTAAACCCACTTGAAGAAATTAGGTGTACCTCTACTGGCATTTTTTTCTGCTGGGTGGAGGCAAAAGAGGACCTAGAGATGATGCTGCTGGCAAAAGATACCAGGGAGGGTGGTCCAGAGCCCTGTTAGAAGAACTTCTGCCTCTAGCGATTCCTGGAGAGGCATTGAGCTGACCACCAGGGCACTGAAGCAAAACGACGCCCAGTACCTGAAACCCACCCAACAGAGACAACTGAGACAACCACAGACATCCAGATAAATGCCACAACTCCAGCTAATTTGAGCGGTTACCTGAAAAATGAAAGGCCTATCCTTCACTGGCCTTCGTACCCTTCATACTTGAGAACGGGGAAACCCTGCCTCTCCCCCGCTTAAAATAAAAGTATTTTCAGTATGGGATTCAGGCTATGAGTTTTAGGAAGTTACTGCTTCCTTTGGATGTAAGTTATCTTTTTCTCAGCTGAGACGGGTAACTACATGCACACTCAAAATCTATTGCTCTGGCAAGTAAAGCAAGTTTTTGCGACTTGCCACCGAACGACGCTGAAGGGTACTTAACCAAGGAACGTGGTTTAGGTGAACCAGTATTATTTGTACTAAGGAGACTATAAGGGTGCACACAACCAGTTATTATGTCATAGCCGAGAGATGATAGGTTCTTACACTCCATTAACTAGATGGCTTCTGATCACCTTTTCAAATCTCATGACCCGATAAGAAAACTCGCTCATGTCATTACAAGCTTTAAAATGGAATCTGCTTGCTTTGTGATCGCAGAGTAAGACTTTACGGGAGGAAGTACAAAGAGTAAGAATTGGCAGGAATCTTCAGAACTCTCTTTTTTCTAAACTAATTCAGCTAGGGAATTCTTCCAGAATTTAGGCACCCTGGTCTCCTTTGCAAGCCAACAATAAATTGAACTGTAAGTAATTTCAATGAAATACCTTCTTGCACTCTGACGAGTACTAAATCAGGCTGAAGTTTCGCTCTTCAGCTATAAGCAAAACAGAAATACTGAACTCAAATTAGCAGTAAAGCCCAAGGGTGAAAGTCACACACCAACCAGAAAAAGCAAGCTTGCCAAAATTTGTATCAACATGACCTCTAGTACCAATATTCTCTTATAGATCAGTCTAAAAAAATTCCCTAAGTACAAATTAGTATTGTCTTTCACTGAATTATCAGTTTGCATTGATAATGTTAAAAAATATCATTGTTGAAAATAAACCTTCATGAAGAATAATGAAAACAGTTATTTAAGCTTCTGAAAACAAAATAGTAAATGCTGTCATCTGCAGCAAGCATTCTACCATCTTCTAATTTAACTGCTGTGTACAGTATGACTATCAATTCATACTTTTTTGTCATTTACTGATAAAAATATAGTGTTACTTTTTTTTTTTTTTAAATCCCACTGGTACCAACGATGCAAAACTACTGTTAGAACAGATTACTAATACTAGATGCGGATGCTGCATGCCATCTGGGCCACAAATCTTTAAAGCAGAGTTCTGTTCTGAAAACTCTATTCATATACCCAACACAAATATGTGACTAATGTGACTAATGTTTCAATGACATTACTCAAATCAGTGCAGAACAAATGCATACATATTTGCAGAACAAAGGTCTAAACGAAAATTTGAAAACTTCTGCTTTTGATGGTGATGCATAAAACAGGAAAATATACTAGACGACCTTGAGGCTGCAGTTTGAACGCTGTTCAAGCTGGAGATCAGTGTTAATACCTTCACTATTGATGCCAATTCTTATTGCAGCCAAAGTGAGATGAAGACTGAGCTACCAGCACAACTCTAGCTTTACTCTTTCAAATGTGGCTGAGACGTACTAGTTTAAAAGGTAAAAGAAGGTCGCTGGTGACAGGTTTTACAGCTAGATGGCTTCATTCTTCAGCACTATCAATCCAGAACTTTCCTTGAGCACCAAATTAACGGGGCGGGAGGCTTGCTGTTTTTTTAATGGAAATCAATATTGGCAAGAGTGAGGCAAGAGCTATCAACAGTGATTTCTTTGTTTTAATAAGACAGGAAATACATTGACTAAAGAGTACTTTTATTTTCCATGTCTGGCAATGATAAACAAAGAAAATGAAAGCACAGTGAGTCTATAATAATGAGCCAGTGCACATGGCAAACCACAGACTTGCTTTGCCATGGGAATGCTCACAACTGCTTGGTGTCTGTAATGCAAAGACGTCACAATGAGGATAAGTGGAAAATTCCGAAAGAAAAGACGACTTGCCTTCCAGGGCATTACACCCTAGAGATTACTTCTTGTCGGAAATTGTGTCTGCTCTTTTTATTATTTTTATAAATTCGGGACCCCGTGAGTCCTGTGAGATACACTCCTGTGATCCTGCTGCTTCTACTCCTACCACCAGCTGATGACATTTGTGTGAGAGAGCCAGGGAGTGCGTGAGAACTCTTCCTCCTGCACCAGCTGCTGGTACTGTGCTCCTGCTGTTGTTCCTACCAACAGCAGCTTCCCCCCCTTTCAGAGTTTTGGGAAGAAGATTACTTTTCCTATTTGACAACACTAACTGAAGACTGAAAGGAGAACTCGGAAGTTCACAGTCCTCTACCATCACTGCAAGAGAGGTTGCTGATATCATGCTTAGAAGGCCTGAGGTGAAGCGGGTAACCATACTTGAGACAGCAATATTACAACACCCACATCGTTAATGTGAAACATTTTTGAGAACAATTTGAGAAACACCTTTGCTAGAAGAGGCATCAGCATAGGTTATCTCATACCATGTCTTTTTCTGCTCTATGAACACACAGCTTTAGCTTGTGGACCACGAGCTCAGGCTGATCACGTTCACTGACCTCAGAAAGAGGCTTTGCAAGAGGGAAAGTGTTTGCCCACAGGGAGCAGTTTGTGGGTCCAGATTTGCAGACTGTGTATCTTGCCGAAGAGTTTTTACTTACAGGAAAAAAATACACGTATTTTGAAAATGAAACACAAATCTCCAGTTCCAGCTGTATTTAATAAAATACTTTAAGAAAACATTTTCAGAATGTAAACATACCTTTTCATTTTAAAGAAATATGTGTTAGCTCTCTGACTCCTCTTTGTGGATTCACAACAGATTTTGTGATAGAAGTGCACTCTCTATTCTATTCACCCGGAAAGCAGGACAAGCTATTTTCAGGAACATACTAGAGGTAAAGCACAACCCCTCCACCAATTACTGTGCGGAGTTTTGAAGGTTTAAATTCTCTTAAAAGGATGAATAGGCTTTACCATACTTAAAATGTGTGGACAAGTGGCTCCCATTCTTCACTTCTAGAAAACAAGAAGGAAGGTAAAGGTATGATGGTAATGTTATATTCTTTTACCAACTCTAATTTACACCTCATCCATATCTTGATGCACTAAACAGTACATTTCATTTAAGAACCGGTTCCTTTAGCAGGATTTTTAATTACATTCTGGGGACATACTTTAACAATCATGAATATATTTTTTTTTCATTGAAACTTAGTTTAGAAGTTGTTCTTGAACTTTCATTTTTTCCTAGTCTGTTGCCT